CAAGTTAGTATCTCCCATTATGTATAAGTGCTTAATTTTAGCCAGTTCTAGGTACTGAATTATATGTTTTTTAAAGGATTTTATATTGCCATCTGGTGGTCTATATAAGCCAGTAATATACGCATATGCTTTACCTTGGTTTGTTAATTCAACCGTGAAAAGTTCACAGTTTGCGTTCAGTAAGCTTAGGCTTTCTACTTTTTTAAACTGTATTGTATTATGTATGTAGAAACATATTCCTCCGCCAGTACCTCTACTACGAGTTTGATGGAGAGCTTTATAGCCTTTTAATTGAAAATTTGAGTTTATGGTATTTTCGTCTTTGCACCATGTTTCTAAAAGGCATATTACCGTAAATTCGTGACTTATGTCTTTTAGCATTTCTTTAAAGTTTTCAAAGTTTTTGCTCATGCTGCGTATGTTTAATGTCAGCGCTGAAAAAGTATTATGTGACGCATTTATAAAACAAGATAATTCTTCGATACTATAGTAATTAGACTTAAATGAGTCGTTTTCAAAAAATTTTTTGTCAGGGTCATTGTTATTGTTCAGAAGAAGAGTGTTTTCTTTATCAAAAATTTCAAAATATTTTGTTTCCGTCATTGTCATAATTAAAAATTTAACTGCTTAAAAAATTAAATATAAGATATTTAAATATATTCATACACGTGTAAAATATAAATATAAGAAAGAAGAGTTATTTTTTTTTGATATTATTTAATTTAATAATTTTATCGTACCTTAAACCAACATTTTCACCATTATCGCGTCGTTCTTTTACTTCAGCCAGGAGTCTTTTCCTAATATTGACAGTCTCATGGGAAAAATCTTCGTTTAAGTAAATGTTTGTACCTTTTAGTCTATATGACTCTTTTAGAATTTTTGTTTTATCATTGTATCTTAACAACTTCATTATAACTGTTCTGGAGCTTCCTTCTTTTCTGGCTCCGGTTCGATGAGCTCGTTCAACTTCTATTCCATTTAGTCCCAACTTATTGACTAAAAATAGTTTAACTTTTCTGGTAACCCGTCTATTCTTAAATTATTTCTTCTCGATCTATCTCAAACTTTCTTAGCTTTTCATTTATATTTTGCGTTGTAATGTTTTCCTTTTCCACTCAATCATTGTTTTGTTTGTGGATAGTTGCAATTTTTTTGTCAAAAACTTCATCATGAAAATTTAAGCTCAATTTTATGTCTTTTGTCAATTATGTTATGTCAATTAGTTAATTGTCCTAGGTGTCAATTAGTTAATTGTCCTAGAATTAGTTAATTAGTAATGTGAAAATTTAAAATTTAGTTTTTTAAAAAGTTCAGTATCTGAGGGTTGGGAGTTGGAGTTGATAATTAACGCGCATGTTATTACATATTATTCTTACTAGTGGGATACGTTTATTTTTTTCTGTAGAAGGATGTTTTCCGGGTGGCAATAAGTTCGCGTTAGTCGTTTAAGCCTAACTTTGTGTAACTGTTTGCGTTGTTTTATGCATTCTAGAATTTCAGCAGTCATCTATTCTTGACAAATGCAGGTTTTGATAGTGCGTATAGATTGATGTTTTTTTTTTTTGCGTCAATTTCAGGATTCTGGAAGACTAAGAATAATTCAAGCGGGTCTGAGTCAAGATTCTCAAGGATACTATGCATATTAAGTAGTCGTACGGTAGCATTTGTGTCTCTGATCTTCCCAGAGCGTATTTAGATGCTTTTAGATTTTGGTCGTGTGTTTTTATGTATGTTGTGGGAAATAAGTAATGATAATGTTGTGATCGCTGACATTTCTAGTGTTCATCTGTGATAAAATGCCATTGTTTTAAGTTTTTGTTTTAGATACCCCAAAATAACCTTACGGTTTTTCACAGAACACCATTTAAATAGGAAGTTCACGCCTCCTTCCTTACCAATGACGCTAAATATGTCTAGAGCTAATATGTCAAACCCTGGGTCTCTTGCTCATAAAGCATACGCTCTAACCACTGCGCTACGACCTCACAAGTCATTAACATCGGTATTATAATCAATTTGAAATGAAGATGAACCCAGTGGTTTTAGTGTCAAAAGTATAAAGCTTCTATAGGTAGCCTATAAAATTAAGCTATTCTTATCTCAAATTTTCCAAACTTCTCAAGGTATTCAGTAGTATGCCAGAATTGGCTTACAATCGGTGTAAAGGGTAATTCTTGGATGGTTTCGGTTTGAATATTATAATAACTCCATCTCTAATTCTTGAACACGACTGATTACTATGTTACGTCTGGTGGAGGTAAGCCATGTTTCAGTGAAGAAACCAAAATGTGCATTTGTATCTTCGTATATTTAGGTTAACTGATCATGGTAGTGAATATAATCGGTTGGTAGTGAATATAATCGACAATTGCATTGAGATCAATAAGTTATTATTAGGTCTGAAGGAGGTGGCAAGAGGGTTAAAGTGGTATTATTTAGAATTTTTAGGTCTTTCACTGTATTAGAAGTATTTGCTATAGATTGGTAGTACGGAGGTTGTAGATGAAGAGAGAGAATCTTCAATTATTGAACCAAAGCGTTACCGAAAGGCTTAATAATTTTGTAATACTCTGAAAGCGTGGTGAATAAAACGGAGTTTAAGGCATATAAAAATTGTTTTTCGTCTCTGTAGAGAATGACGTTGATGCAATACATGACCTATGTACGTTTGTAAATAACATTCCAAAATGGTTTATCTAGAATATTTGCTTCCTTCAATAGATCGTTACGCTTTTTTAACTTAGCTCTTAGATTAGTAAGTTTTATTTGTTAAGCAGGAGTTCTATCTTCACGAGCATATATCCCTTTAAATAAAGCTGATTTATGGTAACGGCAGTTTTTCAGCGCCAGATTTGGTCAGATTCAGCGGTTAGATTCGTTTTCAAGAGAAACTTTAACAAGATTTAAATCCGTGATTGTTTTTATATATTCTTGTATGGACTTATTTTAGAAACTGAGAGTTGTGCCCCTCCACTTAAAACCCGTGTTGTTGGCCATGTTTTTATTGGCACAGCGCTAAGATGTAATACGTTTTCTGTTTCTAATGAATGTACTCTTTTAATAAGAGATGAAACCAGCAAAGATATTTTCCCACATCAAAATGTAAAGCTCTAGTTAATTTGCTATGGTTTCCTGGTTCAAATTTTTGCCAGTATTCTTCCGATAGGATTTCTATAAATTGATAATTTTCAATAAACCGTTGCATAAGCTACCACTTATGTAACGGGTGGTCACTAGAAATCCGGACTTACTTTCAAGCGCAATTACTGCCATTGTTTTTTTAGGTAAAGTTTGAAACATTAAATAAAATTTTTAGTTACTTATTTACTTTAATTAAGCTTGTCTTTAACTAGTTTGATTCTTCGGATATAGCCAACTCTAAGGCGAGTTGACCCAAAAAGTGAATTACCATCGGCATGATGAGCTTAGATAAACGGAACTAATACAATCCATTTTGTAGATGGCTTTGTTGACTGCAAGGTCACTGGGGATGAAATATAGCTCAAAAATAACTTTGTCAGAAGCGACTAGCCGGACAAGCAGCTTAGGTTTAAAAATGTGCTTTTTGCAATATTTAACGCTCGGTAGAGTCTTGTCTCTGTCACTAGAGTAGTAGGCGCTGTTTCGGTTAATCGTTGAGTGCGACAGCGTAAAACCTCGTTGTCAAGAATGACCAATGTCCCTTAAAAATTGGTCACCCTTGACGATGAGTTTTAAAGTGTCAGGCGCATAATTGAAACACGATGGAGTGCGAGAGAGGCAGTTAGTGTTGTAAAAAAATTACTCGAAAATCTTAAATGCTGTAGATAAAGAAACTAATGAAAAGGAAAACAGATGTACTAGATCAAATGCTGGGGTGCTGTCATTACAATCATTATTTTTGTGCTTACTCCGATGGTGGGAGTCGGTCCTTCGCAAATAAATGATACACAGATCTACCTTCAAGCAAAAGGATTAAACATACAACAATGTGATATTAAACTAGAACAGAGATTAAGGATTAGTTAATAAAGCAGTCGTTTGTGCAAAAGAAATTTGTGATATAATCATGATATAATCTGTGCTTAATCATGGATTCTTGATGGAGAAAAAAAACAGATGTCAGGGGAAGAATAACTTGATGCTAAATTATCAATTGAAAATGAGGTAAAAAGAAAAAGGTTTTTCTCCATTGACAGAGTGACGCAAGAAATTATTACGCGATTTCAGATTTTGAATGGTAAACATAATCTCATTTTCTGAGTCATAAAATTAATAAATAAAAATCATAGTCGTAAGTTTATTTCAAATTACAGTCTTGAAAACTAACGGTTACATTGTTACGAGTTTTTCTTACAACTGCTGCAAGTGTGGATAGATGAGAGAAGTTTTTCAAAACTAAAATCGATAAAAAGTTACCTTAGACCGACAATGAGTACCCTGCGATAAAGAAACCTTGCCATACTATTGAATAGAAATCATACCATACTATTTATTGAACAGAAACTGAGTTATAAAAACTTTGAAAAACAAAATTTTGCAACAGAAATGTACGAAAAACAAAATCTTTAAAATTTTGCTTCAAAATCAATTTTTTGCGATTAAAAATTATATCAATAACCCTATATCTAAATAAGCTTTTTGATAAATGCAAATATTGCTCTTTTTAGGAGGGTTTATGACAGGGGAGGAGGCAAATAAGATAAAGTGAGCGAATTCCAAATAACTGATGTTCGAAGAAAAAAACTAGACGAATTAGTATTTTTGGAGCACTTTGGAACAGTCACAGTAAATAGATAAGACTTAATTGAATGTCGAGTAACACAAGAAAAGAGGGCCAGCATTCTAAACATTGCACCACGGCTGCTTATTTATATGCTAGTCACGACAAAATGTTTTCCACAAGATATAAAATAATAAATTCAATAAATTTTATTTTAAAAGTTTTCAATTTCTTAACTTTAAATAAAAACATTATTTAAAAAAAATTTGTAAAGTGTATTATTTACATTACATAGTAAAGTGTAAAAAATTTTATTATATTATTAAATTATTATATTACATTTAGATTCTTATTGTATTATACATTATTGCAAACTATTGTCGCTTGCTCTCAACATAATATTTAATTAGCCTAAAATTGCGTTTCAGATATTGAAAGATGTGCACCATCCGTAGAAATTTCTTTTAACTTACGCTCTAACATAGTTATACCATCGCATAACTGTAATGTAATAAAAATATATATTTATAATAGAATAAAAACAAAAAAGAATTTTCCACATATCGTCAATAAAAACTTACGTCGTTTTCATAAATCAATAGGTCAGAACTAAGCACAGTTTTTAACAGATTCTTCTTTTTTTTATCAGCACTTTCAAAAAATTTAATATGGCGTAAATTTTCATTCTCAATATTTCGCATCATGTATATACAATTGTCGCATAACTCTGAAAAACCCGAAATCAAGTTATCCCAATCATCTGCCCATTCCAAATAAATTGGATTATGAACAACTTCTGAAATTAAAAAAAAAAAATTAAAATATATTTTAATATTTTAGACAAATTTACAAAACATTTAATTATTACGCATTTAAGGTGATAATATAAAATAAAATTTTTGAGTAAAATGCCCAAAAAATGTTTTTTAAATGCCTTAGCAACAAAAGTTGTTGAACTTAATTATGGCTCAGCAACAAAACAATGATTATTTTACCACTAAAATCTAAATATGCTTCTTTTTCATAATTTCAGCGCTATATATATATATATATATATATATATATATATATATATATATATATATATATATATATATATATATATATATATATATATATATATGTATATATATATATATATATATATATATATATATTTATATATATATATATATATATATATATATATATATATATATATATATATATATATATATATATATATATATATATATATGTATATATATATATATATATATATATATATATTTATATATATATATATATATATATATATATATATATATATATATATATATATATATATATATATATATATATATATATATATATACATATATATAAAGATTAAAGACATGTTAATGCCAATTTATAAAAGCTTACAAGACAATTAACTATTATTTAAATTCCTCCATGGTAAGGCACAAAATCTGAAAGACCCCTTGAATGCCATTATTTGGCCCAGTGTTTCAAAGAGCACTTATGTCAATAGAGAAACAGTTGTAATAGGAATCTGCTGTTATTTATTTTAATGATAGATAATGTTTTAAAAGTCGACTGGGTATATAACAATAATGACATCTGTTCGGTTTGAAAACTTTTTTATTAAACAAATGAAGCAAAAGTTTGTTGCTTTTGGTGGACATTTCAAAAGATTTTACTTAAAAAAAGACCAAATTTTTACAATTTTTTTATTTTTATTTGTTTCTACAACTTTTAATTCTATAGAGCAACTAATATCTTTTAGATTTGTGAAATTTTTAGGATTTATAAATTTTATAAATTTTAGGATTTATAAATTTTTAGTATTCAACAGAAATTTCATTAACATATGAGAAATTAAATCTGTTCAATCTTTTTTAACCATGAATATGTTATATTAAGAACAATAAGAAATACAACAATAATATTATTAAAGTTATTATTGTATAAATAGATTTTAACTATGTCATTTACTTTGTTGTTAATATGTTTTTGTTCTGAATTTAAAAAGATTTCGAGTTTTTTTTTATTAAGCAACTTTCAATTAAGTGACTTATTTTAACTTATCTTAATATATTTTTGTTTTTATTAATTCAAACAATAAAAAATAATATTTTTTTATGCTTTTAATATTTGTTACTTTTAAAGTATCTCTTCTACATAATAATAAAAAATAAATAAATAAAAAATACAAAACAAAAGTCTTATAAAACAATCTTAATTGCTTGAAAAATCATTAAAATAACTCAAGTTACTCGAAAAAATACTTGTTTCTAATACTCGACAATTTTTTCTTCCTAGCCTGCAACGGTAGCATCAAAGCAAATCTAACAACGATTTAAATAATAAAGTTCACATGTTAATTTCTATTTCTTAGTATTTCAAGCAAATTTGCAATCATTTGTGATTATTTGAAAATATACAAAAACATATTTCCATGAGAAGCGAGTAAGATATATAAAAGCACAAGAAATCTGTAGGGGTTTTATAGCACAAACAATGCAAAATATAACTTAGTTGAGTTCAAAAATTTTAAATAAAATTTATTAACTATAAATTGCTAATTATATGTTAATTTTAATAAAGGTATCAGTATTATATAATATTTATTATAAATGTATTATTATATAATATACTGTTTGTTATAACAAAAGTGTTTGAATTATTATTAGTTTTAGAAAAGTAAACGTACTCTTCGATAACATTCACTGTCTAAATTATGACCTTCACAAAAGCTCTCAATATAAATTTACTTTTTTGACTTTTTAACAAAATATAATACTTTCATAAAGTTTAACATTGTGACTTTTTGAACCAAATTATCAATTTTCTTAAAATTTAACATAATTATTATGAGTTAATCAAAAATTTTAGATTTTGTTTTTTTATATTATAGTTTTGCCTTGCAGATTCGGAATCTCCATAAAATTCTTCACCAAAAGTAACCTTGTTGTTTTTGAAATTAAAAAAAAAAAAAAAATCAACATACCCTATGAGTCTACCATGCCACGCATGGCAATTTTAAGAATTACTTAGTTTCATAATTAAATTGATTATACAATAAAAATACAAATAATAAACCTGATCCTGATGCAATACTTTTTACACGAGTTGATATAAAATCTAAAACGTTTGCCGGTTCTTTTTCCTCTGGTTTGTGCATCTCCACAAAACCGCCGCATATCACACCAACAAACAAATTAATCATAATCATTGTGATAAATATCATATAGGTTGCGAATAGTAAAGGTCCGAATACAGGTGCATTGTCAAAATATTGTTGAACACTGAACTTTCCGAGAAACATTTGCGTCAAATTTACAAAACTTGATACAAAAGTCGCATATTCTTCTAATTTTGCGACATATAAAAAGTAGGCTAGCGATACATAAGCAATGAAAACTGTCAAAAAAAGAAGAGCAAATGATGCAAGAGGATTCCCTATGATACCAAAAATTTTAGTTAATCTATTAATTTTGTGGTTAAAGCGAAGAATTCTTATGAGTTCCAATGTTACAAAAAATAAAACGATTCCAATTGCACCTGTAAGAGAATAAAACACATTATCATGATAAGGATGATGATGATATTCATCATCATCATCATCAAGATGATTATCATTTAAATGTAAAAAATCTTGCCTTGAAAAATATATTCCAAAATACCAACATACTGGAAGCTAACAAAAATTTCTGGATCTTGAAGATAAAGTGCGACTGCCGATTTGACAGCAAACATGCGCCCAACTTGTACAATAATTGCAATAATTGAAGAAACTGAATTATAAAAATTTAGTACATGCATACAAGAGAGAAAAAAAATTTAAAGTACATAAAAAAATAAAATAAAAAAACAAATATGAAGAAAACAAAAAAAGTTTAAAAAGAATTACACAATCGAATTACCTAATTAAAATAAAAAACTTACATATTTGAAATAAAAAACTTACTAGTTACAATGACATGAAAAGAATTCCAAACATTAAAAATATAAGTTGCAAAACTTTTTTGTCGAACAGCTTTAAAAATTTTATATAGTTGCACGAAAGCAATAACGCAAAAAACGAGGTCAAACAAAATAGTGATTTGTCCCAGTCCCCCATTATATCGATACAAACGCAGAGATTGAATATTTGAGTAAAAATTCCAACCCCCTGAAAAAAAATTAACCATTTTTTATTAAGTTCAAAAAATTTTTCCATCTAAATAGTCTAAAATTTGGTTCAAATTTTTAAAAATTTAAACCAAAATAATAATATTAAACTAATGATTCCAAAAAATATATTCATAAATCAAAAATTAAATTGCATTTTAAAATGTATTCTAAATTATAAAAAAGCAATGGCATCTGTCTAATTACACAGTGCACCAAAAAAAAAAAAAAAAAAATAAATAAATAAAAAAAATTGAATATATATATATACATATATATATATATATATATATATATATATATATATATATATATATATATATATATATATATATATATATATATATATGTATATTTATATATATATATATATATATATATATATACTATATATATATATATATATATATATATATATATATATATATATATATATATATATATATATATATATATATATATATATATATATATATATATATATATCGGGTGACCACGCAACTGCATTACACTCAAATTTAAGGCTCTATTCATGCTAGATAGTCGTGGATCTATTTGTTCACAAATTATGCAATGATATCAACATAAAATTACAAAAGCGTAAAAATTTAAAAAATTTAATTCAAATAAATCTGCAAGAATCAAAAAGACGAAACATTCTGCAAATGTTGCAATCGGATAAGACTACATCAGATATCAGAAAGAAAACTTTGGCCTGTGCTTTGCATATAGATTTTTTTAGTGACTTTGTACTTCCATGGGGAATCTTGCAAGCCTTCTTCTTCACAGCCGTCCACATAAAAAAGTCTAATGGGTTCAGATCTGGGCTAGATGGGGGCCACTTTAATTTGTCCCAGCGCTGACTCATGTTTTCTCTGAGAAAATTTTATGTCTTTTTTTGAAGTATGAGCTGGTGTCCCATCCTGCTGAAACACATACTGACCATCTGGATAGTTTCTGTTTAACCAGGGAATGACCTTCTTTTGCAGGAGGTGGATATACTCATCACTGTCAATTTTTTGAGCCTTTTTTCACAAAAACTGGTGGACACTTTTTTCCATCACTTGCTATCACGCCAAGTACCATCACAGAAGCTGTTTTTTTTTAATGAAAATGAATACCTGATATTCTCAGGGGCTTCGTTTACTGTTGTTGTTTCTTTACTGTTACGTTTAATTACGTTGTGTTACGACGATTAATAACTTTATCCACAGTGAAAAGTTTTTCATCAGAGAAGATTGTGACACGCCCAGGGTAAAATTTTTGCCAGTTTAATAATTTTTTGCATCGCTCTTTCCTACTTTCTTTTTGTTTATTAGTGATAAGATGCTTAGTCATAACAGCTCTGGATTTAAGGTTCAAATCTTTCATAACTTTTTGCATTTTGGAGTTAGCAACATTGGCTTCCTTTGCCAATTGGCCAATGGAGCGCAATGGATTTCGCTTGACTTTTCTTTTGACAGACCTAAAAGCTGAGGTGATCGTTTTACAGGTTTTGGCTTATTAAAACGTCGTTTTATATATCTTGTTTCCTGAAAAAGTTTTCTTACTCAAAAAATTGCTGTTCTGGAGCAGTTTATAGCCTTTCTGATATCTGATGTAGTCTTATCCGATTGCAACATTTGCAGAATGCTTCGTCTTTTTGATTCTTGCAGATCCATTTTAATTAAATTTTTTTAATTTTTACGCTTTTTTATTTCTGTGTTGATATCATTGCGTAATTTGTAAACAAATAGATCCATGGATATCTACAAGCATGGATAGAGCCTTAAATTTGAGCGTAACGCAGTTGCGTGGTCACCCGGTATATATATATATATATATATATATATATATATATATATATATATATATATATATATATATATATATATATATATATATATATATATATATATATATATATATATATATTAATGCTGGCTTTTAATGTATTATATTATATTGCTCTTATGGTATTGGTCCAGAAAATGCTATTAAAAATACTTTAAAGTTTGGGTGTGTAAAAATTCTGATATTTTAGGCAAATTATAAAAAATAAAATATAAAAAAAAACAACTGATTATCTGTACTTTTTTTCTACGGGTTCATTTGAATTGTTTATTCATAATCTCAGATCTTTTAGATCTTTATATTACTATTATTATTACTGTAAATATTATGTGATTATTTTTATGTAATTTTAGGCGGGTTACAGCACCCTCTCTATCCTCCCCATAACACCCTCTCTATTCTCCCCATAAAAAACGTTACAAAGTACTTATTGTATATTTTGTACATATTGTATAACAGATACTTGCTGTATATTAAATTTAAAATTGAATATTTTATTTGATTTAATTAAATTTTTTACTAAATACTTTTTACGTTAACTTAAAATTATAAACGCAATATAATAATTTTTAAAAAAGATTCACAACTTTGTCATTACTTGTACTTTGTTATGACTTTGTTAATAATTAATATTTCAAAAAATATATTTCTTTAAATATTCATTTCTCTTTTCAAAATGATAGATAATTTTCAATATGAAATTTTTTTTGCATTTTAGGATTTGATTCTGGAGTCAATTTGAATGTGGAAATAATTTTTTGATGACTTGCGAATGTTTACATTATGGGTGCATAATTGTAGGCAGAAAAAACAAATAATCGGAAATTTTTCAGCAAAAAACATTTGTATGTTTGGTTTTTTTGTTAGAAAATTTATTCACTTATTGATTTTTTAACAAGAAATATAAATTATTTCAACCAGTTGTTGTGTCATTAGTTAAAGAAAAAAGATGCGAAAACTTATGTGGATTAAAAATTTATAAAATTTCTTTTGGAAAATCAGCTTTTAAAAGATATAGAGACGGGATTAAAGACATAGAGACAGGATTAAAGCTAATCTATAATGTAGATAAAGCAATTCATAACATTTCATAACATTGAAGTTGCTCCATATTTCTAATTAAACCCAAAAAAGAGAAATGTTAAAATAACCGGATCAATATTATCATCTACGATATAGAGCTTAATAACTATACAGAGAAAATAAATAATGATATCAAACCACTTAAAAAAAAGTTTACTATTTCTAAATATTTTCAACACAATATTTATAAAGCAAAATTTTAAACTTTTTACTTTCAACTAATACAGTACTAAACTTAATTGAAATATTAAACTTGAAAAATAAGCTTGACTTGAACAATGAACTTGACTTGAACAAAGTAAACATGTTTCATACCAAAATCTAACATCAGATGAACAAAAGAATTTTTTTTTAAACTTATGTTAATGTAGCTCTTTAAAAAAGTTAATGCTTGCTTCACTCACGCTTAATGTTGTAGGACCAAAGCACAATTTAATAAACAATTTTAACTTTATGATAGCAAACTTGGTATAGTTATAAACACATCAAATCCATTAAGTGTCAAATTGGTGTATAATAAAAACCAGCTGCAGCAAATAGTTTTTTATCTCCTGACTATTTATCTCCTGACTGGGTGTAACAAATAGTCATAGTCCTGACTGGGTGATTGTGTACCAGAAGATTACTATATCAGAATAAACTTTTAATAGAAGCTTAAACCTGGTGGCTATGTTCTTGCTGACAGAGTACTGATTTTCACTACTGTTATTTGATAACCATTGTGTTTTTTATGTAAAATAATATGATTGTATTTTTAGTTTATATATTAATTAATTTGCTGAATAAAGCTTGAGTTTTAACTTACTATTATTTTATTAACACTGGGACTCCATATAAAAAATGCTATTGGGGCATAATTAAAAATCATAGCTTTTACGAAAGATTAGAATTATCTGGAAAAGCTGTCTAAATTATCAAAATTTAGACAACTTTCTAATGTTCCTATACATAATGTTTATGAATAAAGGAATTTTATGTATGAAAATGTTTATGAAAATGAAAATGTCTCCCATTAATTAAATGAGTATGAGGATCACTCAATTCGTTAGATAATAATATGTTAAATATGAATGCCTTTGATCATTTTAATATGAGTTGATTAATGTAAATGTATATAGTTAGGGTGGACTGCAAATTTTCATGTCCATTCGCTATGACTTTTCCCTAAAACTTTAACATACAAAGTAACGAAAAATTTCACACAGCCCTTAACTTTTACCCAAAAACATGAACTTGCTTCAAAAGTGCTCTCATTGACTTTTAAATAATGATGTTATTATGAGATTTTAAAAATACACTTTTTGCAATCTTATTTTGATTGTCAATACAAATAATAATTTATAGCTTGCAACTAAATCAATCAAAATTCACTGAATTTTGCATACTTAATTTAATTTCCTGACTTTAGCAGGATGTCCAAGTTGCTGGCCAACTTGATTATTTATAAATAATAATTTTACAAATAATAATAATTAAAAATTTTTTTCACCACCTTTTTGTACAGCACTGAACTCATTTTGTTTTAATACAAAAATGAAGTTTTTAAAATTACCTAATTTTTTTTACAATGCTATAATTTTTCTAAAACTAGGTCTTTATGATTTGCTGCTAACTTTCCTATCATTTCTGTTCGTTTGTTATTAATTCTTGTTACAATCGACAATATTAGGTATCACTAACCACTAAACATTGGATGCTAAATTACTACTACTAAAAATATTCAATTATGTTGTTTTTATTTATTAAATTTCAAAAGATTTTTAAAAGCAATATGAATTGAAAAGCTTATAAGAATTTCTTTTGTTGTTGTATTACGAGATAAATCTGAATATAAAATTTGAAGAACATAAAATACATAAAAGCAATCAAAGTTTATAAAAGTAATAAAATACTTTTATTTTTACAATATAAATAAAAAAAAATTTAACTAATTATTTATGTAATTAGTCACATTTTTTATGTAACTAATTATTTCAATCATTTTTTAAAAAGAAGACAAAAATTATTAAGGATATAAAAGAAATGCAAAAAACACTTATGAAGTGTATTTATATTATGAACTTATGAATGCATACTTGTAAAGTTTTGATGTTTTCTGCCTAGAAGTATGCGGTATATTCAGAATTTGAATACAGCACCCTGATTCCTTCTCTTATATATGCATACAGCAACCTGATTGCTTCTCTTATATATGCAGACAGCACTCTGATTTTATATTTTATATGAATGTAAAATGAAGAGTTCTCTATTGTAAATTTAGTAAAGGTTTGTAAAGGCTACAAAAAGTACTTTGGGATGCCATCCAGAGACCAGGATAAACTATGAACTCCTCATTGCTGTTGGAAATGCTGTAAGAAGACGCCTGAAAAATGACTTAGATGTTAGAAATGGGTTGTTAAAATTTGGCAACCAATGGATGTGGCTGGAACCAACAAATCATTCTACAAACTGTTATTTTGCATGGTAGGTATTAGTTATTTTGCATGGTCAATATTAGTAAGGAATGGAAAAGAAAAAATGCTGTTGCTCTCTCACTCTCAATTGCTCCAACGCCTCACTACTGCAAATAATTCTTATATCAGTTTATCCATCTGAAAAGACAAATACTGTGATGAAGAGGAATTCGATACTGAAGATTTTGTTGCTTTTTTACAGGCAGCTCAATCAAAAATTTACAGACAACTCTATCAAAAGTCCTTCTACACAAAAGAATGAATTGGCAACACTGCCCCCTAGCCCACTCATTAGCCCATTCATTATGTCTAAAAGAAAATTACTACAGTGTAAAAATGCTCTTAGATACTCTGCAATACAACAAATACTGTTGGGAAACCATTGCAGATTTCAGGATGGTAGCTTTCTTGCGTGGTCTCCAGGGTGGATTTATTAAATCTCAACACTTTCTGAGCTTTGGTATAGTAGAGCACTCTCTGACCACTAGAATAGAAAGAAAATAACAATAGGAAGCAGCAAACAGAATTTAAGTTGGAACTTTAAACTTCTTGTTAGAGTCACTCATTAATTCAAAAAATGTGCTCATGTCACCACTACACAATTGTTGGACTCAATGAAGCAGTTTGTGTAGGCTTTTAAACAAAAACCGCTTGCTTTTAAGTGCTTTTCAGAGTTTTTTAAAATATTTTAAATTCAATTAATTGTTTTTTTTATGGAATAACTGTTAATGTGATGAAAATTTAGGTTTTCCCATGACCCCATTTCAGGCTTACATGCATAATTCAATAAAAATTTTCTTTTCATTGTAAGATTTTTTCTTCCTTAAACATCTTCATTTTTAACAAGGCTGCAAGCAACCACTACTAGAGTTGGATTTTACTGGAAAAGAAAAGACAAAGTTTGTAGAACAAGATAATAACTGACAGCCGACTTAAAAGATTGCAAATTATATGAATCAGGAAAGCAAGATGAAGGAAGCAAATTCCAAAGAACTGATGTCTGAGGAAAAAAACTAGACAAATAAGAGTTTTTGGAGCACTTAGGAACAGTTACAGAAAAAGTATTGAATGACAAGTAACACGAGAATGAATTTTAGTATATAGCATAAGAGACGCAAGCTCTTTAGAGCAGTGCTAGTAGTATTTGTAGAAAAGAGAAAGAGAAACTAAAAAAAAAAGGTCCAACTATGTTTTCAATTCATCAGTTTTTGAAGAACTTTAAAAAGGAATTAAAAGCAAGAGAAAACTAGGTTAAACTGGAACTGGGAAACTAATGTCATAATAGACTTGAGATTAATGCAAATAAAATTAAAAAAAGAAAAAAGAAGAAAAAACAACAACCTCCTTGTATTCTATAATTTTGTTACAAAATAAATATCTGGTCTATTGATTTACAAAATAAATATCTGACCTGTTGATTCAATTTTAAAACCTTATGAACTGAAAAATTGTTTTAAATTCAAAAAAATTAAAAATTAAAAATATTTAAATGTTAAAAAAGTAAAATAAAAATCTTTCTCTGTTAGATAGAATTTTTATCGCTGATCACAAAATTTAATTTCAAATTAAATGATACTATTTTTTTTTTAATATAATAAAAATAAAAATATAATAATATAATAAAATATTTAAAAGATATTTAATAAAATATTTAAAAGATATTTAATAAAATATTTAAAAGATATTTAATATAATAAAAATAAAAAGGAACTAAAAGCAAAAAGCATGCTACCTGTTGCATTGTATCTGTAATGTGTCAATTACAAACATATTAGCTTTTGTCATCTGTGTCAGTTAAAAACATGCTGTTAGTAAAATAATCAGTTTTCAACAAACATTTTTTCCTTTTAAAAAAAATTACCTGTGGGTAAAATCTCATGCAAATAAGTTACAATCAGCATCATGTTTGTGTTGGCATTGTATAAATTCATTTCAGTAAAAATTGCTCTGGTGTACCTGTCTACCCAAAAGTTTTTTTTCATTGTATTTAAAATGCGATTTGCAAAAATTTTTTTGGGCCCAATATTGACAGAGTATGACGACCCATAGTAGACAGCAAATTTTCCAGTAAATGGAAATGGATTATTTAAAATGCTTGAACCTGAAATATATATAATTATTATAATTATGATAATTATTATAATTTTGCAAACTAATTTTTTTCTTTATGATAATACACATTTCAAAGTTAATTTTATAATAAAGTTTAACTGAATTGCATTATCAAAGAACTTATTTAATTGCAGAGTTAAAACTGTCATGAAATAGTTTATACAACTGGTAGAAAGGTCAGGTTTTGATGACAGAAATTAACTACAATATTAACAACACAACATCACAAAATAGTGTTGAACAGATGTTTCCTTTTGAAAAAACTACATTAAGAATTGTTTTATTTCAATGCATTTTTCAAAACTCTTTCTGAGTTGGTGCATAAAATAAAACAACACATTCCTACATTAGAAAAATTTTCCTAAGAAGAGCTAACCAACTTTTAGAACCTTTACCATTAAAAAAAAAATCCATTTAAAAATATATCGGGCATATATAGGTATTATTTCTTTTTAGGTGACTGATTTAATACCTTTATCAACCTAAAGCTAATGTATAGGGGTAGAACTAAAAAATATTTACATTCATCAAGTAATGTTTTTTTATCATATTTATATTAAAGAAATAAAATTGTGTGTATAGATTACTTATGTTAGATTTAGCACACATAGAGGTGGTATCTCAATATAATCTCAATAATTATCTCAATAAAAATATTCATCTTAGGCAGATGTTAAATGCATCCAGCTACTGTCTTGTAGAAGGCCTCCTAGGCAAAGTATCTGTTGATCAATGTTGTACCCCTTCTTCATCTATTAGGCTGGCATAGATGTATTTATAATACATTGCTTCCAGTTCAGGATGTTAAATGCTGGATCTTCTTGACTCAATGCATGGGTTTTGTGTCTTGTGTCTCTGTTTTTATGACTAGGCAAATCATTCTGTTATCTCTTAATGAGGATACAACTCTAAAACTCAGTTTTATGGTTCTGAGGCCAACTGGTAGCCAAGTTAACTGAACTCTGTGGAAGCTCTCAGAAAGGCTGATTCCATCATCAGCTGTAAACTATTAAAGTACTAATATCACCATGTTGTGCATGGATGGTGTCCCTGTTCATACTTTGGGTGTGCATTATCGAGGTCACATTCAGAGCACTTTAGCACAACTTAGGGTTTATTATAGTAATGAGACGATTGCTAGAGCAGTATCAAATAGTCACATGCTTGGCTTGGACATTTACATTATGTTCTTAGTATTATCTGTGCTATGTGGTTCTTTAACCGATTTTAAAAAAATGACTAAAGTATCTAAAACTATAAAACACAAAAACTATCATCATCACCAAGTTCTCTAAACCTATCATTCACTAATATTTATGGTCTTTGAAGTAATTTTTGGGCTGCTGAGTCATATCTTGAAAAATTCACCAGACCAATTTGTTCTTTGTGAGACTAATTTGAGTTAAGCTGTCTCAACTTGTGATCTTACTGTTGATGATTATCTTCCTTTAATTTGTTAAAACTCCAATAGTCACATGCTTGGTTTGGCATTTACATTTGTAAGAACTCACCCATTTGTTGGGAAACTAGATTTGAATCTACAAATTATTCTTTTATTTGCTTTTGTTTAGCACTACTTCACTCTATATATTTTTTCTTTGTTCTATATCACTCTTCTTCATTTTAGGACTGCACTCTTTTTAATATTATTTCTTATCAAATTGACTAAGCCCTTTTGATTTATCCTTCAGCCAATATATAATATATAACAATAATCCTTGGATTGATGCCTTTTCCCTCTCAGCTGAAAAATGCGCTTCGTATGTAACCTCCTGGATCCAGACAGGAATGGAAGCTTCTATACATTCTTGTCGGTTCCAAGTTAAGCCTCATTCTACTCCATGATTTTTACCATCTTGACAGCTGCTATATCAACCAATCGTAATAATTTTTTTCATCTTTTATAAAAGAACAACACTCTTAAGAACAAATGTTGCTAGAAATCAATGAAAAAGGTGCTAAGCTCCATCATTCTCAGATCTTGTATCTCAGAAGTTAGGCTCTAGAGACTTTTGGAAAAACTTCAGCAGTGTCATTATCAAAAGTAGATCTAACAGATCCATCTCTCATTCATGGAACTGATCTTACTACCTCTCCCAAAGATAAGGCAGAACTATTTGCAAAGAACTTTTCTTCTAATTTGACTCTCAAATCTTATAGCCATTCTCTTTATTCCATTCCAATTAACCCAGGTTAACCCATTGTTAACCAATAAGCACTTTAAAAAGTCTTGTTTACCTACCTGTTCAAAATGGCCTCTATTGTTCCAATTTTCATAAACTCCGGTGAACTATCTGATCCCTCCAATGTTCGTCTGATCAGTCTTCTTTCTGTTATTAGCATGGTCTTTGCGCCAACAAATTTCTCACATTTTATCTATGAGTCAAATAACTTACTGTCAGACAATCAATACAGTTTACAAAATACAGTTTTCGATTATCTCACTCTTGCTTGCTAACTGCAGTGACTGAAAGACTTTATCATTCAATAGAAGGAGTATAAATATTAATATAGGAGGGCTATTGCTCATGACATATCAAAGGCTTTCAACAAAGGCATGCTGGTCTTCTGTGGTACCTTAAGATTCTATCCTTGGTCCTGTTTTATTTTGTATTTAAATTAATGATCTGAGTCCTCTAGTTTACGTCTTCTTGGATTATCGTTTACTACTGACCTTTCATGGACATCAAATATACAATTGATTGCTAAATTAACATCTGCTGTAGTTGTTTTTCTTTACTGTGCTCGCCATTTTTTCTCTCCTAATTCCATTCTCTACCTGTACAAATCTTTTATTCATCCCTGTATGGAATACTGCTGTCATATTTAGGCTGATTCTTCTAATAATGCTCTTTCTCTTCTAGATAAGGCCCAAAAACGCATTGTTAATGTAGTTGAACCCACTCTATCTGCTAAGCTTAAACTTCTTTCCCATCATCCATAATGTTGCATCTCTTTCTCTTTTCTACAAATAATATCATGGTCACTACTCAAAGGAGTTATCACCTCTAATTCCATCAACTAAAACTCATTCTTACTTGACTAGTCATTCAACAAAATCTCATTCTTTTACTGTATCCGTCCCTGCATACTTTAAAACTTTTATTCGTCTAGTTTTTTTCATCTTTTTACCTCCATCTTCATGTTTTTCTGATTCATAGAACCTTCAACTTTTTAAGTCTTCTGCCAACGGTTTCCTGGCTCTATAAATCTATATTTTTCTAGTAACTATCAACTTAATAGTGATTACTTGCAGCCTGGTCGGGAGTTCAGGATAAAAAAAAAATATATATATATATATATATTGGTGTTGTTGGTGTTGCTCATCACACTATATGGCACTATAGTTCTAGTGTTAGTGATTCTGCAGGTGTCATGGCCCACAACTTTTGCCTTTCTCAATCTCTAATACATATAGTTAACTTTTCAACTCGCTTTCCAGAAAATCTGAATCATTCATCTTCTCTACTCGATTTATGACTTTTAATTTCTCAATCCTTAACTCAAATAGCCAATTTTCAAACTTGATTTCCAGCCAACCCAAATCATTTACTTTCCTAACTCAACTTATGTTTTGTTTCTGATTCTAGTCAGTTCTCAGTTTCTCCACATTCACCCTTAAATGCTTCTCATTATTCTTCTATTATCTCATTATTCTTCTTCATCAGAATCCCCCTATCATCATACCTTTTACAACTACCTTAAAGCTGGCTGGAACTCTTTCCATGATTTTCTTTGTGATGGCCCTTGGGTAGAAATTTTCAGGCTCAAAAATGTGCCTCTTTAAAATATAAATTTTATGCCAGTCTGAATCCAAGAAGTTACAAAAATGTAACTTCTTGGATTGAGACTGGCATAAAATTTATATTTCCTCTCAAAGAATAAAGTTAAGCTTTATTCTTTTCTGTGCTTTTTCTCTTATTGTGCTTCTGCAATTTCTAATCATAACCATTACTTTCTTATCTATTGTCAAAACAATTTTCCAGAAAACAGACATCTGTTGCCTATTAGTAGAAACCATTTAAAAAGATTTTGTTTAATGCTAAAGCCTGCTATTCTTAGGTCACAAAATCTCTTAACTCATTTAAAAAATTAGACTCCAGAGACTTCTGGAGAATCTTTAACAGTATCTATAGTAAGGGCAAACCTGTTATTCCATCTCTCTTGCATAGTTCAGACTTTCTTATCTCACCTATAGACAAAGCTGAGTTGTTTGCAAAAAACTTTTCATCAATATCATCTCTTGATTCCATTAATCACATCCTACCTGATGTAGCTGACAAACAGATTGATCTATTGCTTGACGTTTACATCACTCGAGCTTGTGTACCTAAAGTGATTTCCTGCTTAGACTCTTCTACAGCTTGTGTACCTATAGTGATTTCCTGTTTAGATTCCTCTACAGCTTGTGGTTCCAACAACTAACCTTTAATAGTCTTGCAAAAGTATTCTCAGGAGCTGTCGTCTATACTTTCAAAACAATTTAACAAGTACTTTTCAGAGTCTTGTTTTTCTATACATTATATTAAAACATTTTTTTGCAAGAATTTGATATATATTTAATAAAATAATAATTATTGTTAACATTATTATTATTATTGTTATAATTATCATACAGGTAAGTTAATTAATATTAGTAAAAATAAAATATATACACAAATATCCAGGGGTGTGAAGTCGTAAAAAAAAAGTAACGACTCCGACTCCAATTGTTGAAATTTTTTGAGTACAACTCCGACTCAGACTCCAACTCCGACTCCAACTACAACTCCAAAGCATAATTTTTGAAAAATTCTTTGAATTTTTCAAAAAATATTATGCAATAAGATAAAAAAAAATTTTTGAACAAATTTCTGAAAAGTTCTTTGAGGTTTAGTATGAATATAAGTTTAATTGCCTGTTTTGTACATGCATGTACAATACCAAAAAGTTTTACTATTGGAGTCAGGGTTGCAATTTTGTTTAGCAACTCTGACTCCGCTAAAAATGTTGCAACTCCGCAACTCCGACTCCGCAGCTCTGCAAATAACTATAAATGCAAAACGAAAAAAGAAAAGCATTTTGAGCTCATAAGTGGACATTTCAGATTAGCACAAAACATTGAATGTCAACAAAAGTTCAACAAAAGTTTTGACAAAGAAAATGAGCACAAAGGTTTTCTTTACTAAAATATATGAAATTTTCATTGTATGCCAGCATGATGGTTAGTAATATGCTACTGTGTTAGGTTAGTAATATGCTAGCGTGTTAGGTTAGTAACATGCTAGCGTGTTAGGATGTAGTATGGTAAGCAGAAGTTTTATCTAAGTAGCCAAACAGGTTAGCAGGGGCAAACAGGTTAGCAAAGGCAGATCCAGGATTCTATAACTTGTATAGTTATAAAATAAAGAATATGAAGAATTTTTTTTTTTTTAAAGAAAAATCATTTATTGCTATTTTTTTCTTTAAATTTATTAAATTTTATAAAACTTTGTTATTAGTTTGATTAGCTCAAACATTACTTTTTGCCTATAAACAAACTATTCCAAGCAATAATAGTATTCCAAGTTCATAATTCTTTGCAAAATAAAAATGCACTAAAACTGTATTGTTTTATATATATATATATATATATATATATATATATATATATATATATATATATATATATATATATATATATATATATATATATATATATATACATATATATATATATATATATATATATATATATATATATATATATATATATATATATATATATATATTCATCAATATATATATTCATTGTCTTTGACAAGTGTCAAAGATTGCAATAATGAAACTTCTGTTCATTTTTTTTTTAAACAAACTAAAGATTAAAACTTGAAGGTAATTAGAGTATGCTTTTATAATTTTATTTTATGCAGAGTATGATTTTATAAGATATAAGAAAAGCTGATTTTTTGAGCCAAGACGCGAGTATAAGAAATTTAAATTTAATATAAAAAAAGATTTTTACTTTGATATAACCATGGATCTTCAAAACCTTTCCATATTGCTTTTCTTTTTCCTTTCCTTCTTCTAAATATTTCAGTTTTATTTAAAGGAGGTAACCAACCTGCTCTATAATTATCTGTTTCTTCTACATTATAACTGTAAGCTGCATTGCATTGATCAATCAAATACTTAAAAACTGGATGTTTTTCACATGACACTAAAATATTATTAAGAAGTATATGATGACAATATATACAAACATTATTTTTTCATACCATATATAATACAAACATACATAAATACACACACCTGTGTGTGTATTTATACAAACATATATATATATATATATATATATATATATATATATATATATATATATATATATATATTTATGTGTATATATATGTATGTTTATATATACACACACACACACAATATTATTAGGAAGTATATGATATAAGTATATGACAACAATATATACATGCAAAAAGTATATGATAACAATATATACATGCATCATTTTTTCATATCATATATAATACAAACATACATAAATAAACACACACACACATATATGTATATATCTATCTATCTATATATATATATATATATATATATATATATATATATATATATATATATATAAATAAACATACATACATACACATAAAAATATATATATATATATATTTATATAAATAAACATACATACATACAAATATATATATATATATATATATATATATATATATATATATATATATATATATATATATATATATATATATACATATATATATATATATATACATATATATATATATATATATATATATATATATATATATATATATATATATATATATATATATATATATATATATATATATATATATATATATATATATATATTATTGCCGACCTCGGAATTAGGAAAATCGAGGTCGGCAATAATTTGCCAACCTCAATCTTTTAAAGGTCGACATGGTAAGCAAAACCGAATTTTTTTTGCTGATCGCAAACAAGTTTAGGTCAGCAGTTAGGTTGGCATTGCTGAATGCTGACCCTAATTCCGAGGGTTGTAAATGGAGTGCTGCAACATCCACTGACAAATAGCCTGATTCGCAGCGGAGTGCTGCTACATCAACTAAGGGTTCAGGCAGGCAGTATATCATTTAATAAAAAAAAAAATTAAGTTTTTAAACTATATCTGGTCTGGTTTATTAGTGCTCTCTTTAAAACTACAGTTTATGGGAAAAACTTTTCGACTACCATGTAAGACTATATATATATATATATATATATATATATATATATATATATATGTATATATATATATATATATATATATATATATATATATATATATATATATATATATATATATATATATATATACATATATATGCCCATAAACAACTTTCCAAGCGCCACAAATAGCGCTTGCTAGTTTCATTGCGAGCGTAAAAAATCACGCTCGTATAAGTGAATTTTATAGAAAATATTCTTAGTAAAATATTTTTGCTGAAGTCAAAATATGTTCAAACAGAGTCTGTATATTGTAAAATAAAGATATATTGTTAAATATATTGCTGCATATTATAAAATAAAGATATATTGTTATATATTGCTGCATATTATTAAACAAAGATACATTGTTACAATGATATATTATTACTGCATATTGTTAAAAAAAATATATATATAAAGTTATATTCGTAATAAAATTAATTCACGCATAATTTATGTGTTACTTACTTCAATTTTAATTTATGCGGTATAAGTTCAAATTGTAAAACGATTTATTTAAAAGCTATAAAATGCCTTAGTGGTGTAGTGGTAAAGCGCTTGCCTCATAAGGGAGAGGTTCCATGTTCGATTCCCACCTTGTCCCTGGTAGTACTGCGCTCAACTTGTTTCTCCGCTCAGCAGCCTTGTTTGTTAAGGTTCATGTTTCGGAGTTAGAGAGTTGAGAAAGGGTTATAACCACAATTAAGTAGCCTCCTCATATGTAGTGGCCTTCTCGGCCTTGGGAAGGTGAATTGCCAAAAAAAAAAAATTAAAAAAAAAAAAAATTTCAACATTTTTTTTTAAACAGTTGAACTTTATCATATTATCCGCTTAATCGTAACCTAGTTAATTCAAACCATTTGCTAACTTCCAAATATAAGTTTATATAAAACTAAATATTTTCACTGATATTTTTGAATCTGTTAAGCTTATAGTAAAGTCTATTAAAAAAGTTAAAGCTAAAGTTTAAAAACTTAAAATTTAAAAAATAAAGTTTCAATAAACAATACGTATAGCAAATATATTTGTTATAACTTCAAATTGAAACTTTGTAAGCGTGCTTGCAAACAACAAAAGAAGAAAATATTACATCACTAGTTTCACAAATTCATTTCTCAAAATATATGTCAGTATATAAGCTATTTATATACTTTATTTGTATAATTATACATATATATATATATATATATATATATATATATATATATATATATATATATATATATATATATATATATATATATATATATATATATATATATATATATATATATATATATACACTAATATATATTATACTATTTTCAATACGTTTCGTCCCAATTAAAAAATTTAAATAAAAAAATTAAAACTCAATTGAATTTTGAAAAATCAAAGTTTTAATCCACAAGATTTTGTAAAAAATCATGTGGATTCTTTTGCTTTATTGTTTTTAATTTTTCACACATCTTTTGTAAATAAAAGAAATATTCTTAATGTTTTATTTCTTTATTATTTTTTTTATTATTATTTATTTTAAATTAAATTAAAACGTTTCTGTTGTTTAAAGTGTCCGCAATCAAGCATGTTAATTCAACTCCAAAAAGGAAACAAAGTTATCTAGTCATCTTTTAGTAAATGACAATATTTTATTGTTTTTATTTAATATCAAAGCTGCAGTAATATGTATTTTTTGGTAGATAAACAAATACATTAACTAAACAACCAAAACTTTGTCTGATTTCCTGAACTTCGCATGAAAAAAATTCAAACAAAAAATAGTCCATCTTTTTCCTTGTATGCACTTGTACGCTTTTGAGTGAGCCCCTCCCCATACTTGCATATGTAATTTACGGATGGCCCCATGGCAGCCAATTTCCAACTCTGAATATTGCTCTCAAAGACTTGATGCCGAGCCAACATAATTATGCTTGTTGATAATGTGTTTCAGTATTACGAGCGCAAAATATTGCGCTGGGCGATTTTATTCATCCCATGCACTGTATACATATATACATATATATACATACATACATATATATATATATACATACATACATATATATATATACATACATATATATATATATATATATATATATATATATATATATATATATATATATATATATATATATATATATAGGGTCTTTTAATGATACTTTATGTATGTTTAATTATACTTTATGCATGTCATTCCATATGCAAGATTTGTTCAACATTTATTTAAAATTTGTTTAACATTTATTTAACAGTTGTTTAACATTTATTTAACAATTATTATAATTTTATTAAGGTGGTATACAGCCATTTTTTTCGTAAAAAATGAAAAAAAAAAAAAAAAAACTGAAAAACTTGAAAAAATATTTAGACAATTGAACCTTGTAGAATTCAATAGTAAAAATTTTTCCAAAATAATTTTAGAATATCAAAAATATTCTTTTCAAACATTTGATTTATCAAATTATAAATTATAAATAAATTATAACTGATTTTTCTCAGTTTTTTTTTTTATGAGTCTGCCGCTTTCGATGGTTTAAAATTTTTAAAAAAATTTTTGGTTCAGGCACAAGCTACACTAATATACTAACATTTTGCAAAATTTCAACCTTTAATATTGACGTAATCTTAAGATATTTATGTTCTTGGGACGTTAACCTTTTTACCTTTTTTGAGTCAGCATTTTTTTTTTCAAATTAAAAAAATTTGCAATTCGTTTTAGATTTTTATATGTTATGCTAGTAATTCATAAAATGTATTTATTATGTGTAAAATATAAGAAAATAGAAATTATGGCTGGGTACCACCTTAAGATAATAATCATTATATGATTTATTATATGCAATATATAATATAAATTAATATTTATTATATATTATTAATATTTCTTACAAATATATAAAAAATTAACCTTTTTTAGTATAATTATAGTTAATTATATCTTAAATAATCTTTAAGCAATTGTCATAAACTTTACTTAAAAGCAATGTTTTGTTTAACAATTCATCTAAGTTTTTTAAATTTTTTGCATAAAAGTGTATTTTTATTTCATTACAGACATTATACTTTTATAAAAATTATCAATTGATCATAAATTGTAAAGAGCTTCATGGCAAGATCCTCAAGATCTTCTAGAAGTCCTGTTGAAGAAGTTGCTAAAAAGTAAAATTATTATTGTAATGGTCTGATTATTGTAATATTTTTAAAACAACTTAATATTTTCGATAACTTATATTTAAAATATATATATATATATATATATATATATATATATATATAATTTATCGAATTTTAAGAAAGCTAAGTGTCATTTTGATCTTCTGAATTAAGCTGTTTTTTTTTATCGTTTGTTTTGCCAGTAAAAAAAAATACATACAATATTGTGTAATATAAATAATAATTATAAGACCTGAGCAAAAAAAAGACAATAATTTTCTTATCACTACGCCCCATAAATTGTGACAATGTATATATACGAATGAATAACAAAAAAAAAAAAAGAATAACAACAACAATAACAAGTAAATAATTACTTGGTTTTACTCTAATTTGTCTAATTCGTGCCATTGAAAGTACTTTAGAAGCTGCATTATCAGCTGCAAACCCTTCCTGATATTTCATTTTGTTATACCAACCATCTGGAAATAAATATCCAACAACTGAATGGATTATCCAATCCCACCAATCTGTTATAGATGCAATCTAAAACAAATCAGAATTTTCAAATAATAGAAAAACTACTAAACCAAAACAGTTTCTAAATCCTATTGCACATTCACTATTTAAAAAGTTACATAACTTGGAATACGTTTGTTTTATTAAAAAAAAAAAACTAATCAGAAACAGTTGTTCTATAATAAAATCCCAACAAACTTTTTTTTTTTAAAAAAAGTAAAAGTTATAAGTTATAACCCCTTCAGCAGTTGGTATATCAGGAGAATTAAGGAGACCATTCTCTGTGCAAAGCTGATTGACAGAACTATACAAATTAGCAGCTGATGGATCTAACACTGAATATGCAACTGTGAAGTATAGAGATAGCAGTAAAACATGGATTAAAATTTCTTTTACAATTATCTTGATTTCTTTATCCTAAAAATATAGAAAAAAAATTGACACAAAACAAACTCTAGACTTTTTTTTGCAAAAGTTTCAACTCTTCACAAATAAAAGTGAAAATATTAAAATGTAAAATTTTTGCATGTTAAAATAAAATGTAGAGTTTATGGCATTTTTTAGATTTCAAATTGGGTAAATTTTATAGCATTAACTCAGTTTTTAAAACAAAATAACTTTAATAAAAATCTTTTAACAGTCAATTAGTATCAGAACCTTAATGAAAAAAATTAACAAAAAAACAGTCACTACTTTTATAATAAACAAGTGACCAAGAGTTAGTTAGAGCCTTATTTTTTGATGTTGTTTAGGGTTTAAATGTTATAAACCCAAAAAATAACTCTACCCAATTTGGAAAAAAAATTTAAAAATAAACTTGTCAAAAATTTATATGAAAAAACTAAACATTTTTCAGTACTTTGTTAAATTTATTTCTAAATTGAGCAGCTTCAAACTATTTTTATTTTCATCTTCAATTTGTTTTTTTTTTAAATGTCTATTTTTGTTTCATAATTAGCTACTTAATTAGATTAAAAAAAAACTTTGTTTAGCATAGATAGCTGAAATTGCACTGAACGCTAAAATGTACACAAAGCATTGAACTAAAAAATAACTTTTGATTTTTATTTTATATTCTTTTGTGTTTTTCTTTTCTTAGTTTCTTCTTTATTTCTATTGCATTTGACACCTTGCTTTGACACTTTGTCTTTTTATGCAAATATTTGCATTTTCACAAAACTTGAAGGGTATATATATATATATATATATATATATATATATATATATATATATATATATATATATATATATATATATATATATATATATGTATATATATATATATTTTTTTTTTATATTAATTCACCTCCTCAAGGCTGAGAAGGCCACTACAGACGAGGAGGCTACTTATTTGTGGTTATAACCCTCTCTCAACTCTATAACTCCGAAACACAAACCTTGACGAGCAAGGCCGCTGCGCGGAGAAACGAGTTGATATATATATATATATATATATATATATATATATATATATATATATATATAAATGTATAAACACACACATATATATTATATATAAAGGTAGGTATATAACATACTATATATATATATATATATATATATATATATATATATATATATATATATATATATATATATATATATATATATATATAAGCAAAAATGCTGTCTTAAATCTATAAAATTTTTTCAAAAAAGAAAAAGAAAAAAGAAATAAAGAATTATCTCAGCAATATTGTAATAATTTTCAGTATTTATCTCGGTGATATGATGGTTTTCAGTGGGTATCTTAGTAATCTTATACATTAAAATTCTGAACTTAATCCTGCCATTAGTAGTAGCGGCCATTTGAGTGTGTTTGACATGAAACTTTTGGCAGTTATTGCAACCGAGGTAATGCCTTACATTGTTGTATGCATACTTTTTATTTTTGTAATCAATTTTTTATTTTATAAGTTTTGTATGGTGATATATTTGTTGTATATCTTTGTTCATATTTGTATTTATAAAACAATTTACTTTTTATTATTATTGTAAGTACTGTTTAGGTGCAATGTCTGTCTTATTTATTTTTAAATTTTCCTCTATTAATCTTTATTTTTGTCTTGACAACTGTCAAAATATGCTTCGTTCGATAAATAATTCTCCTTTATTCTAATGTACTTCATTTCTTCCCTAAGGCGTTCACTACTTGTGTGTGACCATTCAACAAATTTTATATGCCAAAAGATGAGAAAAAATCAAATTTTTTTTTTAATTTCAGTAACTCTTTTATTTAAAATTCTTTCTAAATTATAAGGAAATTTCTGTTTTCATTTTTTTGATATTGCACAATCTGTTAATTTTATAAATCTGATGTAACTCTTAGAAAATATTATTTTTCTAAACTAATATTTTTTGCAAAATAAAAATTATAAATATGAATAAAGTCATTTCAAAAGTTATATTGCTTCAAGCATAAATTCAATATTTTTACTGTGCAAAGTGTTTCTACCCGAGGTATGGTTAGTGATTTAATTAGTTATTTTTATTTATATTGTACAGTAGATCTACACTTTTCATATCACATCATCAAAAAAATATTGGTGTTATTCTTTTGTAATTTTTAACAAACAACAAAATAAAAAAGAGAGAGAAAAAAAAAGTATATGGAACAATTGTGTATAATGAATCTGTAAAATGAGAAAACTTTTAAATTTTATTTTAACAATTAGAAATCTTTATTGCTATATTATAATCTTTTTCTATAAATATATAAGATTGAAAAAATTTAAAATTTATTACACAAACCCCCAGAAACACCACTGATGACAGCATACTAAACCACTGAGCTATCAATGATATGCGTTTAGGAGAAAAGCAAACTTGATTACAAATCTCTTATAAGCTTTATGTATGCAGAAAAAATGCGCATGTTAGTTTTTTTGCTCTTAAAGCAATTTTTCAGATTGAACTATTTCGCTAAAAAATATTGAAGTAAATAAAGAATAGGTATAGAAATGATCAGTGTGAGAAGTATAGAAATAGTAGATTTGGTAAAGAACCATATTTTATGGGTCCAGAAAGCTAGAATATATATATATATATATATATATATATATATATATATATATATATATATATATATATATATATATATATATATATATATATATATATATATATATATATATATATATATATATATATATATATAAGGAAAAAGTATAAAAAAGGTCAGTTTGGAATTGACTTACAAAGACCCATAATCTTTTTTTTATTTATTCTGGTTCACTCCAAACGAGACTGTAAGTAACTATTAAGTTGGAAGTTACTAGAAAAAAAGAATAGAATTATTGAGCAAGGAAACAGTTGAAAGAAGACTTAAAAAGTTGAAAGTTGTATGAGTCTGGAAAACAAGATGGGAGAGAGTTCCAAAGCATAGAAATGCAGGGAAAAAAAATAGACAAATAAAAGTTTTTGGAGTATGCAGGGACAGATAAAGTAAAAGAATGAGACTTTGCTGAATGACAAGTCAAGAAAGAATGAGTTTTAGTAGATGAAACTAGAGATGATGGCTCTTTTAAACAGCAACCATGATAATATTTGAAAGAAAAGAGAAAGAGATGCAACATTATGGGTATGGGAAAGAGGCTATAGATTAGCAGATAGCGCTCCAACTACATTTATAATGCATTTTTGGACCTTGTCTAGAAGAGAAAGAGCTTCATTAGAAGAACCAATCCAAATATAACAACAGCACTCCATACAGGGGACGAATAAGAGATTTGCAGAGGTAGAGAGTGGAATCAGGAGAGAGAAAATGGGAAGCACGGTAAGAGAAATAACTTCAGCAGATGCTAATTTAGAAATCGATTGTATATATGGTTTCCATAAAAGATAAGTAGTAAACAATAATTCTAAAAGACGTAAAGAAGAGGACTCAGTGAGTGGGTTGCCATTCATTAATATAGGAATGTCAACAGTATTACAATAGTTGTTTGCAGTAAATAACTGAATTTTGTTGAAGTTAAAATTTACAAGCCACTGCGAGTTCCAATCTAATACAGAAGTGAGATGACATTCAAGATTGGTTGCCTTTTCTAAGTGATTGAAAAGAAAAGACTATTAAGAAGACTATAGACGTTCTAATCTTCTAATCTAATTCTAATAACTTTTTTAATTGAATTTTTTTTAAGCGAAAAAATGTTTTTAACTATCTACTATTGTTTCTAATTTTTATGAAAATGAAAGTTTAATGAAAATATCATAAAATCAATTAAATAACTAGTGGAGTATAATTGAGTTAATTGAAGCAAAAAAAAATAGAATTTTCTATCAAATTTTTGAGGTTTTGAGGCCATTGACTCACTTGCCCAGCAAATTCAAGCTTAGTTAAAAGAAATTTTTCTTCATATGGAACAAAGTTAGAAATAATTTGGGTACTGAAAAAGCTGAAAAGCAAAACATATTTTAGTATAAAATAATTTAAATTGTTTATTTGTGTGTTTTCTTATTTGCCTCAATTCTACATACAATTCTACAGGACTTCTTTTTTTAATTAACTTGTTAGTTTTTTACAATTAATACCATCTTTTATTTTATTTTAAATAATAATAAAAAAAAAAAAAAAAAATTATCAAAAATTTATTTGTAAAATTTATTTCATTACAGTTGAAATAATACAAAAATTGAAATAATAAATATTTACACATACTAAAATCAAATTGAGTTCTAAAATCAAAAAGAAAGTTGTTTAGGTTTTGGGGTAATATCTTAAACTTTTAATGTAGGGTTTTTGGAAACCAACACTGTGTACTTGAGTTAATTAAGTCAAATTATTCAAAATTTGATAAAAAAAATTTTCCAAAACTTTTGAACTCAAATGATATTAAATGCCACCTGTTTTAAGATTTTAGAGTTAATATCTAAAACTCCTTGTTATTTCTTTAACAATGTTTATTTATTAACCTGTAAGTAAACAATTATATCTAAAAAATTTCAGTGCGTGAGTTACATAATTAATTAGAAAATACCTTCAGTCTACTTTTTTTTGCTTCTTCTAGCTTTCTTGTATCAGGTATTTTATATTCTTTTTCTAACTTTTTGACAAACTCTTCCGAGTAATCTGCAGCTAAAATTATTTTTTATAGAATTCATACATTATTTCATTCATTCATTTATTACATTAAAAATAAAATTATTAATAATAATAACTATAAATTTTTTTTTAGAGTAATTTGATTGATTGCTAAATTTTTAGAGTAATTTGATTGGTTGCTAAACTTGATTGCAACTTTATTTTGAAGCTAACATATCAGGATATTTAGATACAGTTTTTATCATATGCATGCTGTGATGTGAGCAAAATATGGACATAAAAATATAAATATATGAAAATATAAATATTTGTAAATATAGTTTAAACAAAAGCTTTTTATAGTTGATTTTTTATTCATTAATTTATCAAGTTGTTTTTATTTATAAAAAAATTATATATTTAAATTTAAGTGGTTTTATCATTCAAAAAACGCCAGCTACAAATGCGTAATGCAATTGTATAATGCTAAAACAACAGAAGAATCTGTTCTTATCACATTATGGAAAATGCACAACTTTTGTAGCACAAGTGGCAATGAAGACAAGAAAAAACATAAAGTATCTAGATTGTTTGTTAGTAATACAGCTTTGTTGCTGTGTTTTATGGAAAGAGATTCTGCCAGTAGATTCTCAAAACATTGATGGCACTTTTAGTGACAATAGTGAATCTGAGGAGACCAATCCTAATGAGCCAAGCACTGTAAGTAAATCAAAGACCAAAAATTTTAAATTTTATTAGGCTGAATGATCTAGTACAAGATTTATATTTTGTTTAAAACATAAATCTTGTACTAAATCTTCTTGGATGGAGATTTGAAACAATAGAGATTATTGTCACATAGCACATCTGTCTACAGAAATCAATATTTAAAGCTAAACTTTCTATTTCATCATTCTGTCTCATTTCCTACTACAACAATCTCAAAGTTATATGGGACAGCCTCATGTTCAGTATCTACATAGTGAATTGCACCTTTTCATTAATTCTTTAAAATCTAGTTTAAAAGCTGTACTGCTGAACAATGGTAACACATAACCATCTGTTATGATTGCTAATTTTGTTGGAATGAAATTGACATATAAGAGCAAACAATACCTGCTGAAGACCATCAAATACTAATAACACAAATAGATGATTTGGTGTGATTTGAAAGTTGTTGCTTCTAGAAATGCAGCCAGGGTATACAAAGCATATGTGTTTCTTATGATTTTGGTACCGCAGAAATAATTACAGCCACCACAAATTTAGAGAAAAGCCAAACCAAGAATAAACTTATCGTAAGAAAAGTTTACTACTGGTCTTCTTCACATCAAACATCTACCTCTGGTTAAATCAGCCAATATTATACCTCTGGTCCAATATTATTCTACTAGCTCTACACACCAGATTAGGCCTAACTGGAAACTTTCTGATGTTTATGAATAAAAATAACTTAACTTTTCATCACTTAAGTCATAAGTTCTCAAGCACGAGTGAGACCAGGTTAAGTGTTTTATTGTTTTACTGGTCCACAGGTCATGCTATAAAGGATAGTGATTTTGAAAATGGCTATAACATATATTGACGTGACATTTGGTAATTGTAGCATAAATAAATTGAGACTTAACAATTACTTAAGGAAAGTTAGGAAAACTTTCTTAAAAAAACAATTTATCTTAATGAAAAAATCCTTACTTACTTAAATCCTTACTAATTTCTACTGTAACTATTCAACTGTTTAGGATAAAAATTAAGTCTTAATATCAGGGAACTCAAGTTACTATAATAAAATATTTTTATTTTCAGCAGCAAACGTAATGAAAATTTAAAAAACATACCAATTTCTTGCTGGTTCTGTTTGAGTGGATTAGTTTCATATGGCTGTGTTTTTGGTGTCTTTTTTAGTACAAATGAAAAAAAAATAGAAAGAAGAATCACCTAAAAAGATTATTTTCATTAATTGCATTACTAATACATAACACTACAAATTAAAAACAAAATTAAAACTAAATAACAAATGAAAAACAAACTAAAAAACAACACTAAATTACTAAACATATGGTGGGATTAAAAGAATAATAAGAAATGAATAGTAAATATAGATATAATAAATAAAAATAATAGTAATTTTATTAATCTAATGAGTGATGCAGAAACATTGATTGGCAAAATAAAAAATTAATAATTTGGTCAGAAAAATAAACTAAAGCAAAAGATATTCCTTCTACCTTTATGCACTACTCTACATTAACCCTAATCCTTTACCATTCTGCACTACTCTCCATGACAAAATAAACAGTAAAAAAAAGAAAGAAAAATACCTTTATAACTTCAACAATAAAAATAGACTGTAAAAAGGTAAACGTCATAGTAACCATCCATTTATTTGCTTTAACTTTACCAAAAGCCATACTGTAAGTAAAAATAAAAAAAGCGCAAACTACACATGTTAAAAATGCAAGGAAATAGCCTATGTAAATTAACCAATGTGGCATAGATTTTTTGACTGATTTTTCTTCTTCATCTTCTGCTTTTCCAAAGAATACAATTGATTGAAAAAATTTTATAATTTTTACATACAATGAAGATTGCGTAGACAAACCTAAAAAAAAAAAGAAGATAGTTTTGCTATTATTTTCGTGATTTTTAAAATATTCAAAATTAAAATTGATTTTTAAAATAATTATGTTTTGTATAAAAAACAAACTTTAAATAGTATGCTAAGATTTTTTACCATTTTTTGAGTTTTGAGAGACTTCATATTTTTGGTGTCTCAGAGTTTTTGGAGGACCAGCATATTTAAACAAGGTAATTATGATAAGGTTAAATGGAGTTGCTATTGCAATACTCGAGAAAGCCACTCTCAATTGATCGACAGAGATAGTGACAAACCCAATTGTGATGGAGTCTGAAGGCTTATTACTATCATCTAAATATAAAAAAAATAATAATTTATGTAGATAGGTATCTAAATAAAGAAAAAAAAAAATGAATTTATAATTAGTTTTCAATTATAAGGTTACATTGAATCTAATTTTTCTATTGTGAAAGTATGGGGTTTGTAGTAGCTTGTGAATTTTACAAAAACAAAGCAGCTTACTGCTAATAAACAATTATCACAATGATAAAAATATTTCTTTACTGATGAATGACAACTCTATTTTCAGTCCACAATATCTTCTCAGATTATTATTCATGATTTCTCTCGGAAACCAAATATACTATTGTGCTTGCCATTTTCTTACTCCTGGTTCTATTTTCTTGGTAACCTCTTATCTGTTCTTGTATAGAAATGGAAATGTAGTCAAATTTGAGCTTGTAAACTGTGATCATATTTGGGTAGTTTTTCTAATGAGACCCTCCCTTAGACCTCCTTTAGACAAGGTCCTAAACTGCATTACAGTTGTTGTTGGCAACAACGCCTGTTGTTGTTGTTAATCTAGCTGCTAAGCATAAGCCTCTGTCCTATTTTTGCATCTCTTTCTCTTTCATACAAATATTACATAATCGCTGCTCAAGTGAGCCACTTGCTCCATCAATCAAAATTAATTGTTCAGGCGATAAAAAGCAAATGGAAGTTTTAATCCAAATTTGAAAGAAAACTGTCACTGACAGATATACTTATTTATTTCAAAGCGATACAGAATGAAAAAGTATATAAACTGCTGACTCCTAATCCTGTTTGGGTAAAAAATCTATTGGTTTTTTACCCAAACAACTATTGGAAACATATAGGTGTATACATAAGAGCAGAGGTTCAAAATTAACAACTTTTACTGTGTATACACTTTATAGATGCCACCTTATATAGAATGAAAAAGAAAAAAAAAATTAGAATGAATTGTTACCTCCTCTGTAAAACATACAATTTGTCATCATAGTAGTGAACAACAGTGTTGTGCAAGTAGCCAATCGCTGACATCGACTAAATGTACTAAGTACTGGTTTTGTAAATATAGAAAACCAAAGATGCCCATCATATAAATTTTTAATTAAATTGATTGAAAATAAATAACTAAAATTCTCTCTCTCTTCTTTTTCTGCAGGTCGAAGTTTTCTGCAGATAAGACCATCATCTTCTATCAAATCAAGCCATCGATTGCAAATAAATTCTACAACTTGCTGATCTTGCAGATTTTTTATCTAAAATTAACACACATATATAAACATATATATAAACACACACAGATATATACATACACATAACATATAGGAAGTTTTTTTGTTTTAAACATCTTTGCTTCCAACAAAGCTGCAAACAACCACTATTAAAGTTGGAAGTTTATAAAGCAAGATAACAATTAACAGACAACTTGAAAAATTGCAAATTATTATTCAGGAAAACAAGATAAAGTAAGTGAAATTCAAAGAACTGATGTTGGAGGAGAAAAACTAGATAAATAAGAATTTTTGGAGCACTTGGGAACAGTCACAGTAAAAGGATGGGACTTAATTGAATGACGAGTAACACGAGAGAGAATTTTAGTAGATTTTTAGTATGAAATTTCAAGTGAAAGTTTAACTGGTTTAATGGTAAACTTTTACATGTCAATGCATTATCTTATCAATTTTGCTATTTTTGGATTTAATTGTGGTAAAAAAACTATTCTTGCACAGAAAACAAATATCAGAAAAACATTGAGCAAACACTTAGTCAAGCAAAGCCATTCTATTAAAAACCAAACCAAAATAAAACACCTGAGAGAAGAATAACTAGCAAATAAGTTAAATTAAAAGAATTCAAGTTAAATCGATTGGTTTAACTTTTTTACCTAGTTATTTTACTTTAATATATTAGTATTTTACTAATATATTAAAATACTATTTCTTTTTTATTATTTCTAATTTGTAATATTTACACAAGTGTTTACAGTGGTTTAGTTTTGTCTTTTTGTCTTTAGTGTTTTAGTTTTTGGTTTATAAACTTAACAAAGAGCTATTGAAGACAACTTTATAACATTTACTACAACTTTTGATTCCAAAAAATTCAAGCATCCAAAGTGGCTGGAAGTATCAGGCACTTTATATGCTAGGGTGTCAAGAAAATCACCAATGTATATAAAAAACAAAAAGGGATCAAGAACAGTCCCTTTAGCTACACAGCAAAATTATGTTTCTTATCAAGAAAAAAATTTCTTTCTTTTTTCTTAAAATAAGAAAAATAAATCTTAAAACAAGAACTTATGCGCTTAAAAAATGATTTAGAAAAAGAAAAATCTTAATTCAAGATTCTATTTTTGCCATTGCTTGTTTAAATTAAGAAAATTTCCTCTAATACTTTTATCATAATGAAAACAAGAAATAAATTTCTTATTTTCAATACAAAATAATTCAGAACTAATCATTATCTTGTTTCATGACAATTTTCATGAAATTCCTAATCTTTCTAGAAATAAGATAAAAATTTCCTATTTATAATAAGAGGGGTAGAAAGTAAAATAAGTGATAAAAAACTTATTAAAACAAGAACTTATGGATCTAAAAAAATTTTTAAGAGAAAAATATCTTGTTTTGAGTTTTTATTTGTATCTTTGGTTGTTCAAATTAAGATAATTTGTTCTAATATAATAATTATTATAAAGGTAAGCTTAAAACAAGAAATTAATATTTTAATTTTAAATATGGAGTAACACACAAGCAATTATGACTACAGGAAAAAACAGAACTCATTTTAAACTTTTTTGTCAATAAAAAATTTGGCGCAATACAAAAAATAAATCGAAATGGGTTTTTCAAAAAAACCATATTAGATGTTTATCAAATTAATTGTAGGCTCTGCTTAACTTAAAACGCTTTTCTTAGGATTATATTTTGTCACTGTAATAAATCCAATTAGCATTTTGAAATTATCCTGCAAGATCTAAACAATTAAAAAACTCATCAACCGCATATAAACGGGAGAAACTTGAAATATATGGAAACAAGCCTTAAACTTTTGAGTATGGTAAAACTAGAATTTAAAAATGGGCAATAAAATGAATATTTAAGATTTGCTTCAGATCAGAAATCAATTGTAAAACAGTTGATACATTCAAAAGTTAGCTGCATAAATTTTCAAGCTTATTTAATTTATAAATATAAAATTATGATTTGTGTATATAAATATTTTTAAGTTAACACTAATGATGATTTAAAAACATTTATATATATATACATGTATAAGTATATATTATATACATAATTGTGTATATACATGTGTATATATGCATGTGTATATATACACAATTGTGTAAATACATGTTTAAATATAAATATATATTTAATATATATATATATATATATATATATATATATATATATATATATATATATATATATATATATATATATATATATATGTATGTATATATTATATATAAATATAAAATATTTATTGTTATTTTTATTATTGTTAATATTATTATTGTTGTACAATAATATTATATGAAACTTTTAATATTATAATAAATTTCGCATAATATTATACTTTTGTTTAATAATATTATTTATTAATAATATTATTTGTTGACTAAATAAGTTTCATATAATAATATTATTGTACAGCAATAATAATATTATATGAAACTTATTTAGTAGAAGTTTTAGTTATAGGAATTTTACTGTATATTATAAAAAGAATTTTATGATATATGTAAATTTTTTCTAAAAAAAAAAATTTATAGGAATTAACTTTAATCTTGATAAAATTATAAATCCAGAAAGAAATGATTTTGCATTTGAATATGGAAATATGGATTTTAAAATACTAATTTTAAAATGCGGCAACTTCTTACTAAATTAAAGGAACTACGTGAATTAGAAAATAGAAAAATAGAGAAAAAGGTAAGTTCATCCAATGATCTAAAAATGAAAACAAGAATATGTGTTATAAAGTTGATATATTTGCTATATCTCCTAAAATTAACTTCAATAATGTTAGGTTAGCAATAATGATATCCAAAGTTCTTCACTTGAACTCATCAACTTTCTGCAGAGATGTGTATACTAATCATTAAAGTAATTTATAATCTCACTCACATCAAATCAAATATTGTTTACTGAATTTGAATGACTCTTGGCTAGTTAAACCACAGCCTTTTAAACATAAAATAATTTATATATAATAAAATAGTCAAGGTTATATATATGTTTATTTTCTGTTTTTTTATTTTTAGAACAAAGAGACTCTTCACTCAGCTAACTTAGCTAAAATAGATTTTGAAATTGAAGAAATTGTAGAAGCTAGAGAAGGTGCAGAAGATAAAACTAAAGTATTTATGGAAATATTACTTTTATTGGAAGTTAATTACTACTGCTGTTTAATAATGCTTGATTTATTTAATTAAATTTTTCCGATATTTTAGATAAAAAATTTTATTTTGTAATAAAATTTATATTGTCTTGTTACAAACTTAAATTGAATAATAACTGAAATATGATAATTCTAGGGTAAATTTTCTTTAGTATCGCAACTCAAAGAACCAATATACGCCATTTATCAGGATCCTAGACTCATTGCATAGCCAAAAATCAATCATATTTTAAATAAAATGTATCATAGATTGATACAAGGACAGATCAATTGCAAGATAGCAGTATCTATGATGACCCCATTTAATTGGACTCCATCAAGTGCAGAGTTTTGAAGAAAAGGTCAAATCAACATTATCATTACATTATCCTTGTATCAAGGATATTTTTGTATTCAAGTATATTATATATTTATCTTTTATTTTTTGCAAACAGTATTTTAACATTTGGTAAACTTCATTAACCTCTTATAATGATTTTTATCTTTATTTTTTTGATTATTTTTCTAAAATAAATAATCTATTCAGATTGCTTAATAATTCTAGTTGTTTTATTGTTAAAAAAAATCATTTAGGGAAAATTGTTTCAACTGTTAAAAAAAAAAAGGTTAAAAAAATCAAACCAATTTAAAGAGAGGTTTTAAATAGTTTAGTACCTTTTTTAATATTATTTAATAAACCAATAACAAAAAGAAATGTTTTAATTACAATAAATAAAATAGTATAGTATAAAATAATTAATAATATAAAAATAATATAGTATAAAATAATATATAATATAAAAATAATACAGTATAAAATATTATATGATATAAAAATAATATAGTATCAAATAGTATATGATGTAAAAATATATTGATAAAAAAAAAGCCTGATTATACTATTTTGCCTATATTTTAAAATTTTTTCAATAATTTAAGCAAATGCAGAACCTGTTGATATTATGGATGGACACTTTGTAAGTCTTCAAAATAAATTTAAAAAGAAGAAACCTTGTACTGAATCAGTATTTAAATATCTTGATGAGGAGTTTCCATGTAGATTTTGGATGTAAATATTGCTTTTATGATGTTTTCTGCTTGGTGAAGGAGTTGTCTCATCTTCTTCTTCATTGTTTTCATATTCACTGTCGTCAGCCTCAGAATCACTAAAACCAGGATAGTAAGACGATGAGTTGGATAACTCATTAGAAAGTTTTTGTCTTTTAGAGGGATGGATTGTTTCTTTACTAGTTGCTTGGCCTGTAGTGTATCCCACTGTTCATTTGCTTTCCACTTGGAGATGGTACAATTGCTTGTACTCGGAAGATAACCATATTCCATCCACTTTAGTAATATCAAAAATTTTATCAAGGAATTCATAGCTTCCCTGTTGGACACATTCATCATAACATTTCAAGCTTTGTTTGTATAACTTGATCAGATACATGAGGAAAATTCAGTTTATTCTTCCACAATTTGGTGACTTTGGAAATTTCCGCTATTCGCTCCTTTCTTCCTTTGACTTTTGGTCCAAGGAAATGGTAGCGCCCGATAATTTGCTTTTGGAGAGGCATTCTGCGCTTTTCTTCCAGTGAATATTCTTCCAAAGGGACCATTCTTCTTCTTTTATGAGAGTCTTCAAATTTTACTAGATTATTGGTCCAGACATCCTTGTTCTTCTGAATCCTACTATTGCTAGTCTTGTACGACACCATGTGTTACTTCTGTAATAATTACAAAATTAGATAAGCAGCAATATATAGCCTAAAATGTTCTAAATTGTTCTAGAATGTTCCAAAATATTTTAAATTGTTCTAGAATGTTCTAAATTGTTCCAGAATGTTTTAAATTGTTCTAGAATGTTCCAAAGTCT